AAAACTATAAAACATGTGGATGTCGTACCTGCGTTTAGTCGCTATTGCATGATCTTCACATTGTTATGGTTTCACTATTATAACGTTGATATTTCGGCCAGAAACAATATTATTGGATGCGTTAAATTACAACTTGGTGGCAAATTCAGCATTTATACTTATGTCTTGCAATGACATCATCCGCCAGTTGGCTTCGCCTGAACGAAAGTTTTATCAATATTCGACGAAAATGGCGTACGAACATTTTTGGACTGGTACGAACACTTTTTGGACTGGTTCATTTAGTTACTTTCAGCCATTTAGACCCGTTAGCTGTCTACGCTCAACGCACGAACTACTGTCAGTGTAATTTACACCCATTAATTTGAATCTTTAAATATTCTTATTCAACTCATTGTTTACCTTTTAGCCACTCAGCTGTAAACGGGCAACCCATAATGCTTTGTATACTTTGTATACAAACCCATAACCCAATATACAGGGTGAACCAGAATAAACTGACCCTTTTAATTTGTTAATAAATAAAAAACTAACAACGTTATGAAGTTGAAACTTGTTTTATTTAAAAGAAGAACATTTTTATGGTAATATTGTATCCTAGTTAAAATATTGTATCCTATTACAATATTTTATTATTGTATTAGTTAAAATATTTATTATGTATTAATAATATGTATTAGTTTAAAAATATTGTATGTAATATTGTATCCTAGTTAGTTATTGTATCCTAAAAACTAGGATACAATATTACCATAAAAATGTTCTTCTTCTAAATAAAACAAGTTTCAACTTCATTTCAAGTTTCAACGTTCTTAGTTTTTATTTATTAACAAATTAAAAGGGTCAGTTAATTCTGGTTCACCCTGTACTTTGTATATATCGCCGTTTATCATTTCATCCAACCAATAACTAATTTTACAATACGGTTGCCAGAGAAATGAAGTGAGCTCTTTTGACCCTACCCGTATCCACGGAGCCGGCCACACCATACAGTTATAGTTCGGAAAGACGGAAAAACGTCCAGGGAAATGATACATTCCACTTTGCAACGTCGAAATTTGCAAGCAAATCGGTTTTGATAGTTTGTTGAATGTCAGCGACCTGGTTAGTTCCTATTGTCAGGATTTCTAAATGCACATTTGAAAAGATTTTGCTAATGCATTTTACTTTTATTATCAAGAGTTTGATCAATCGTTCAGAGTAGTCCTGAAGTTTTCTGGGAATATCTTATTAGGAAATGCAAGTCACATAATGATTAAACAGTTTAACGTTCGATTGTTCACGGACGAAGAACATAAAATTTCGGGTATGTTTTTCATAATGATGCATGAAATACTTTCTCTTGGAATGATGCGACATGAGTTTACACCAAAAAGTATTCACAGTAGACGATCATAATATTTTAATATTTATTTAATTTTTTTTATAAATTCTAATTGATTTTCTATAAATTTGGGCTGAAGAGGGGATTGAAAATTAATACCAAGCAAGATTAAGGTCATGAAATTTGAGACCTTGCCAAAATATTATCAGACATCTATAACATTTCACTTTTACTATAATCATTTTCCAATTAACATGAAATGATGACTCATTCCTGTAAAGCGGTGTTTTCTAACACAACCTATCACACTATTTGATGCGCCGACATATCTGTGAGCTGATTTCTGTTATCTGAGTTAAGCTCAGCGTCGCATTCTCCAGCGGTGAGTGGCATTCGCTTTATCAATGTTTACTCGCGTAATCTTTTATTGTTGTTAATTTGGAGTAAGTTTGCTTCTAATATAACCATATTTTCAGATTATAATTCAATATTGCATCTATCATTTTAAATAAATATGAGGTAAGTTGCGGCTTCATGCGTACACAGCCGTATCGAGAATTGATTTAGAATTTTCCAACTAATGTTAATAACCTCTTCAATAATTTGAATGATAGTCCCGTGTGTTTTTCACTCAGTTAGATGACTCAATAAAATATGACTGGAAAAAGGACAACGGGCTGATTCAAATTCCAGAAAAAAATGCTAATGAATTTTTTATAAGATGCAACTGATCATGGTGAAGAGTGAAATTGGACATGTATCCAGTATTCTTTTTATTTTCCATGTCCAAGTAAGCCAATTTTTCAATGGAATACAGCAGGATAATTTCAGCTTTCTCGGCACAGTCAAAATCATTTAAGACGAAACCAGTACAAAACAAATTCAAAATACTTTCAACTTCTACTAATGACATTCGGCATAGCAGGGCTATGGAAATGAATCCTTGAATACACAATATGATAAAAGTCTGCATCAGCATGGAATATCACGACGCTCACTTTCGGGAAATGTCAGATGCGGTTAGCCATTGAGATGCGGCTCTACCTATTTATTCATATGCAAATCGTTTAACTATTATATGAATCATTTTTGAAGGGGGTCTGTCTTGCAAGTTCCTGGACATAGTCGAGCGAAATTTCAGTGATGACATCCTTACAGACAAGAGACATTATTTTATATAATTCGAAAAGTATATCCGAATGGTTCAAACTCAAGCTACTGAGTGCAGCAGTGAGAGAGAGAATTGACACTTCTGATTTTGATGACGTAGCCAGCGCAGACAGCCAAGCATTTTTCAACAGTTCTCCACCTGCCACCATTGAACGAATCCAAAGCAAACTCTTGCTGAAAATAGTTCAGAATTAGTGATTCTGGAGCCAGCAGTCGCCTAATGACCTACATATAAATTATAGCTTTCATTTAATAGCACTACATCTTTCATCTCATATTCCCCGACGCAATAGTACATTCGGTGGGGGAACTTGGGTGTTTCCAATTTGGTTTGCAGCTTATTTTATGGTATGTTTTGATCGGCATTTAGAACCATGATGGATTTTAAACATATTTAAATTTATATAAAATTTTGTTTGTCTATCATATTTTTACGTCTCAAAAAGAACCGATATAATCGTCTCTGTATAAATATAGCGCATCAAAAGTGGCCTTGGGTCAAATATACGTACAATTAAATGCATTGTATTATATTATAGCCAGTAAAAACGAAATTTTGATCAGCAAGGTTAGATCAGCCTTATACCATGGAAGTGTGTTCTTATCTATACTGATACAAGCGTAATCATTTTATCTATGATCTTCTTTGCACGGTGATATAATCTAACGAATAGAGATTAGTGGACAATTTTTGCGCACGCTGCTGTGGCTTTCTATTGAATTATTTCAGAGTGTTTTAGAACGCGCATTTTTTCAATTATGATAATGTTGCATTGTACTTTTTTGGTGAAAAATGAAATAGATATAGAAGAAAAATTTTACTAGCAGTTAAACATCACGAGTAGGTAATGGCAAATCCATTCAATCAAGTGTTAATGGCATTCAAACTTGGATCAAAATTAATGTTATCTTATTTTCAAGGCTAATGTGTCTTAGATACTGGAATAATATCAGTTGACGTGTGGAAGGGCATTAAAATAAGATCAACATGGAAGAGAGCTAAGGGAACAAAGGAAATAGGGTTACATTCAACTAAACGGGAGGATATTGTAAGAATTTATTCGCTGAAACAGTGAACTCTACACGAAATCAATACAAATTACATCATGTTGCATGAAGTAGTGAGTAATTGATGCAATAAATCAAATTTGTTTTTGTGGCCGCTCATAATTATCATTGATTGATAAGATAGAGTGATAAGAGAGATCTGGCAAGTGAAATATGCTGTACAGGGTCTCAATCATTGCATTTTGTTGGTGGCGACTGAATAGTAACGGTCTCTGTGCTAAAGTTTTAATTGATACGGGGTCGTTTTTGTTTTTTATACAGTTTATACCATTGATAAAATATATGATGTGAATTAGACGCCTATAAATTTATTCAATTTTTAATGAAGAAGTATTTTCTAAAATATGTCAAAATATGTCCATAGCCCAACCCCTAGAGGAAGGGGCCCATGGGCTTGGAAAAAGGTGCCCACCCCTAGGCCCTCTATACCAATTACCTTTCTTTTTCATTTTAAAGATAATAAAAGAACATTCAACAGTTCAACATAATGAAAATGTAATAAAAATATTATTTTCAGTTATTTATTAGCAACTTGAAATAATGTATCCTTTATTTGACAAATTTATTCCTGGCTCAAAATATTTAGCAATGACGTGAAAAAATATATCTGTCCCCATAAAATATAATAAAATATATAATATAATATAAATAATATAATATAATATAAATAATATATACTTGATCAGAAGAAATTTCGAGTGTAGAAAATAACTAATTCTGCGAAAAGCATAAAGTTCAGTTCATCCAGTTGCTTGTGAAAAAATATCATTTATCATTAGTCATACTATTCTATATCGCAGTTCTTACAAATATGTCTCCGATCATTATCTTTACACTGTTATTAAGCCCATTTTGAGCCCACAATTCATTGGATTCATTTTTTCCGAGAACGGCTATTTGCAAACGGCCCATACCAAGTAAGGTCATTCATAATTTTCTGAACTCTCTATTCTATTGAACTGGATTAGGCGACTACAGGATGCTAATGCTCTAACCTTATTTTTATTTATTTTTCATTTTTTCCAATCGCGCTCAATTTTCTAAGGCAGCTTTTTACGGTGTTGAAGTAGGGTGTGTTGCCTTTTCTCATTTCCGAGTCCTTGTTCAATTAGTTGACATAGTAAGAGTGGTAACAATCTGTGGCCTTGAGTGTTTTGCCACTCTTAATTTCCGCCAGGGCATTCTAAAGTTCAGTTTGTGAATAGTTGGTTACATTGGTCTTCATGTTATAGCTGCGCATCGTGTTGTAACTGTAAAAGAAAGATAATGGGTCATAAATATTAAGAAAAAAATGCTTCTGTCATAAGAAATAATGAAATTCAAAATATAATTCGTAAATTGATGTTCATTGTTTCTTGGGCCGCATTGTTATTATTAATTAATATTATTGTTAATTAACACGACAATAAGCTCCTTTTTCCATTATTTTCATTTCCAATCTTCCTTACTGTGTGGGAATGACTGGCACTTACCCCACAACCATGCGATTCTGAAGCAAGTGGAATAATGGAGAACTAAATCTGGCGGAAACGAAGAAGCGGAAAAGGAAGATAAACCACGGAAAGTATTTGAGAAAGAGAAAAAAATAATAAAATTTGAACTCTAGAACTCTGAATTTTTCAAAACCTGAACATTGCAACCAGTTTTACTTGCAAGAATATACTCGTCAGTTTCCCAATCAACGCAAAGCGTGAGAAAAAATGCTCAGAAGGAAAGGACTCTCAAAACATAACACATCAATAGAGGTAATTCTGATGAAATTTTTATTACATAGATGATTAGGAACTGTGGTTATCTACACTGTTATAATTGAGGGAAGGACATCTATGTGTTCATCTTGTACCTCCGCAATAATTTGATTTTACCGTCATTTTCATAGAAAGCAAATTGGTTAATGAAGCGAAATTTTTAGAATAATGTGACTATTCATTCTCATCAAAATGGAACACGAACTCAAAAATTATTGTACAGTTAAGGCAAATAGCCAAAAATACAACTTAAAATGAACATTCTTTCGACAAAATTTTTAAATTTTTTTATTAATTACAGCGGAGGACACTCTTGGACAACAAATGGACATTCAGCTTCCTGCTCTTCACCGCTCTGGTAATCGCGTTTTATATATAACTAATAACTGAGTATGGCTGGAGTAATGTTCATATAAACATATACAGTATTATCTTTATTATTATTAATTTGGTCTAGCGTTGAGCACGAGAGAAAATCCCTGAGTTGCCCAGGATGCCGTTCAATATCAAATAACAATACATGAGATAAATAGCTTTTATAGATGCCGAATTCCAAATATTGAGCCCTACCTAGCACAACCATTTTGTGTACTGCCAAATCCAAAGAAAAACCTTGATGATATTGCGATAATCTAGGTAATATTACTGCTAAAACTTGGAAAAAACCTACATTATTTTTCTACATAGATTCAGCCAGAAAACAACTTCATTATTGATTACCAGACAAAAAATATAAGCAGTGATTAAAGAATTGTCCAAATTAGAGAAAACTAATCCAAATTAAATTCAAACCCTATTCAAACCTGTGTTGAAATGTGAATTCAGCATCTGTTTCGTTCATAAAGTCAAACTTACGTGCATCTCAGGTGAGTATTAATTTTTGTTATTTCTTCAATTTTCGTTCGTCGATTGTCTTGCCGGTACTATGCTAGAACCGAACACTGCATTGCAATTATATCTGCGCAAAGGAGACGACGACATCATCAGATGTACAATATACGTACAAATAAAAATAATAAAATTATTGCATTTATTACATATGCATATTTATTACATATTATTGCATATTACATATGCAAATTTTAATAAACGGAGCACTTGAACTTTGTGGCATATCTAACATATTTTCTAATTGATTTATTTCATTAAAATGTGAGATTTTAACTACGGTAGAAGCATGATTATCATGAAATGCCATATTTGTATGGAGCGCCATATAAATGTATTCGAAATTATGCGCAAATATTTGCATGATGTTTCGAAATTGTGTGCAAAGTGCATGAAAGACTAATTGAAAAATACGGTAATGTAGCGAAAATAGAGCCTAATAAATATAACTTACAATTCAAATGTGGCGATATCAGTTTTTCATATTAGAGTTTCACAACAACCACAAGGATCATTTCGTATTCACAATTACCACATATTAGTGTAGTTAGGCAGAAGTTCTTCATTTATACAGGTTTGGTTGAAGACCAGAGCGTACTTTTTATTTACGATTTTCTTATTGTTCTTTTCGATAATCCGAACGAAATTTCTAGCTGGAGCTTGGAGATCAAAAAGTAGATTACCGAATGACATTTTATTGCAGTGCGACGTTTCGAATATATCAATATTCATTATCAAGCAAGTGAACAGTCGGTCATAAGACTGACGAACGAGTCCTTAATTCAATTGTGCAAAATAACATCAGCTGCACAACAGCAACTGACCGAATACAACTTTTGATTTATTACAGAAACAAAAAGATCAAGAATTTGATCATGAAAAACAACCCATGCAAAAAGTCCGGACCGCTACAAGAAACCAATGTCGTTTACAAATTTTCCTGTATGAAAGAAGGTTGTAGACTTCTCCAAAATGTAAGTTACATCGGTTTGACTATCACGACATTGAGCCGCTGACTCACATGCCATCTGCAAGCTGGAGGACCAAAGAATCATATGCGGGAGGCCCACAACGAGACCATCACCCGTGCCATGTTGGAGGCCTGCACCAGCATCGTCATGCGGTGCCCCGACACAACGAGACTGTCGATAGCGGAGGCTCTCATCATTAAGGACGAGTCTCCTGCTATCAATTTGCAAACCGCGGGATTCGTCAGGACGTTGAAATTATTCTCGGATTAATTTGATTTTCGATTTTGAAGCGTATCTACGATATTTTCTGTATGCACTTATGTCATGTCCAAATTTCAATTTTTAGCGTTGTAATAACTGTTCACTTGCTTGATAATGAATATTGATATATTCGAAACGTCGCACTGCAATAAAATGTCATTCGGTAATCTACTTTTTGATCTCCAAGCTCCAGCTAGAAATTTCGTTCGGCTTATCGAAAAGAACAATAAGAAAATCGTAAATAAAAAGTACGCTCTGGTCTTCAACCAAACCTGTATAAATTACCACATAGTACACGTCGGTATAATTTTACTATAGGAGCAATTTGAAAGCTGCAGTATCATGTAACACCTTATTTCACTTATATATCCATAAACGTCATTTTGTTCCCGCCAGCATCCCATTGCTGGTGTAAAGGGCTACAGCAGGGATCCGGGCCCCTTCTCTATTAGCGCCGATGCCTCCCTGATGTCGTGTGGGCCTGAGAAACAAGCAGGTGCGTGGCGTGAATAAGTCGATTTCTTATTAGCATTGCCGGAGAATGATACTCTAATAAGTATTAAATACATGGTTATCATCAGGTTGATGAATAAATTATAACGAATTTGTTTATTCCATTCATTTAGCAAATGACGGAATGTTTAAACTTATGAATACAATAAGATATGGAAACTATACTACGACTATCTACTGAAAAATCATTCAAGATTGTTCGCATTTACTTATGTCATACACCACATACTCCTATTAATTCACAAAGATTACAACAAATTATTCTCTTGACTAATTTTTCACGCCTGACCTAACCTCAACCTTAAATAACTTTAGATTATCTTGTCGAGAAGCGAGAACTTAAATTCCAACTCGATCCTGATGTCGATTCAAAAAAGAAATGATATTCCAAATGGAAATTCTTACTTGATGCGAATTACTTGTTGTCAATGCAGGCTCAAAAATATAAATATAATCATAAACTTTAAAACAAGTAATCAGATAATATTTATTTCTGAAAAAATCTGAAGCTTAATTTAAACGTCTTAATTTACGGCACTTGGTACAGCAAAAACTAATGAGGCCCACAACGGGCTTCATCATCATCGCCTGCGTCATCACTGGAGACTATACGGGATAATAAGACTATCCGACGGTCAAACCTAAATTGATATCTGAAAAAATCAGGCAACTGTTCGCGAAAAAAAATCTGGCAATTTTATCTTTATCCCATGAGACCCAAATAAAATTTATTAGTAGAGGATCGGTGATTATTGGTGGCTTTAGGTGGTAATTATAGGCGGATCAACGATGGCACATCGATGGCGTATCCGGCCTATGTTCCGCATGCAATCTGCCGATGGCGTCTTTTACCGGAAAACTTGAAGTGTCACTCTTTTTCTCCAGCCTAATCAATTATCTTTAGCGAAGGAAATACAAGAAATTTTCCCACAAAAATTAAATTTCACTATTGAAGCAAGTGATAGAAAACCAAATTTCCACTCGTATCCCTCAGCGTGAAGAGAATACTTTTTTAACACATAATGAGAATATTGTGAATGCTTAACACATATATTTTTGACACCTAACGAGCAAATTAACAGGAAATCACGTATTTTAATCTGGACATGGAAAAGATTAGTAGGAAAGAAGCTCAACGCTGACGCGAGCCAACCCATCGACTTTAGAGATGCCGAGATGCCGACATGCACATTAGAGATGCCGAACCGCTGTCGACAATGTCATCGTGGCTTTAGATAAATGCGAAAACTTGAGAAAATTAGAAATACAATGAAACAAACTTAATCGATCCATACAATTTTTGCTTAATTATACAATAAATTAGTTTAAATTGATTCGTAATATTTCAAGCGCAGCAAGTTGATGCATACTCAAAATTTGCAACAAATTTACGCAACATATCGGGTGAACATGAAAAATTGGATTCGCCATCATCTTTTAGAAAACTGCATTCTTTGAAACACATTCTCCCATTGTTATTCTGAGAGTTTATAGCAAGAGCAATCTGGATACATTACCAGTGGTTTCACCTTATAATGACAAAATTGTGAACAAAATAGGTTCGCAATTTTGTTCACATTATTGTGAACAAAATGACAAAAATAGGTTCCCTTAGGTTCCCTGGAAATAACTGCTACAAAATTGGTTCAATATTCTAGTGGGAACCTTATTTCTAACAGTTATTTCCAGGGGAACCCATTTCCACGGAGAACCGTAGAATTAGTTTCTATAAAAAAAGGCTCCCAGTAGAAATACGTGCAATGAAATAGGTTCCCTTAGGTTTCTCTGGAAATAACTGTTAGAAATAAGGTTCCCACTAGAATATTTTCACAGGGAACCAATTTTGTAGCAGTTATTTCCACGGGAACCAATGGGTACACATTTCCGCGGAGAACCGTTGAATTTGTTGCTAGAAAAAAAAGGCTCCCAGTAGTAATACGTGCAATAAAATAGGTTCCCCCTAGGTTTTTATAGGTTCCTGTCGATTTTTGGCAGATGTGGCCACGCACCGTTGCGCCACATATAATCTTCTATTGCCACCTATAATCATCGATACGCCACCCTTCATTTTTATTTGGGGAGCATATTTTATTTCGAACTTATTTTAAGCACCTAATAATTGATCAAATTCTAATTTTCAATAGATCTTATAGTGATTTTAATACCCTACGTGTGATGTTTGCGTTGAAGGTTTCTGCACGGATATTTGACCATACCATTTAATTAACAGCAACAAGAAGCAAGATTTACTAAGGAGGAGATTATTAAGCATCAAACATTTGAACCTGTACAGGCTACAAAAATGATCAATGATTTGTACCAATCAGTCATTGATGATAAATGAAGAATGATTGGTATCAGTCAATAATTGATAAATGTTTTATTGAGCATAAAAAATTATAACTGTCAAAATTTGTATAGCAAAGCAGAGACATTCCATCTGTAATATGGCAATATTTAGTACGTACATTACAAAGTCCGTAAGTAGTGAAGCCTTTTCGGGATGTAATGAAGCCTTATCATTGCCTTACTGTATCTTATCCTTATCGTTTAGAAGGCTTCAAAATTACATTTGAACGCTCGATGTTTTTCAGCGGATTATTAAATGTGTTTGTAATGCCTAAACCCAGGGACTTGTATTTATAATTTAATTAACTTGGTTTATTTACAATCAGGGAAATAATCAGAACCTTATCTGTTGTGCGCAGGATTTTCTTTCAGGTCATGTCTTTAATATATTATGTAAATTGTATGAGTAATTTAATCATTAAGTTAATTAAATACCATCGGTTTGGATCAATTACCGTCAATAAAAGATGAAATCAAAGTTTTCAGCCATTATTATTCGTAGCTCCAGTATGCGTAGCAAGAGAGTAGTGGTTGTTAAAATAATGCTGCAATTAAGAGTTGTTTTTAGTCACTTTTACTTCGCCGGCAGTCATCATTTTCAACCAAAGAAAGGAAAATTCAGAAATGGTTGACTCGCTGAATTGATGATAATGGTATAATAAAGGTGGGCATCTTATAACTACGAAAAAAAAGGAAAAGTAAGTACGAACTGAAATGGATAAATGGTAGAGCGGGACAATTTTTATTAGTACCTAAAATACCAGACTGTTACTTTCTTCAGCCGTCGCAATCCTAAACGAGGGACCCGAAAAGAAGAAATTTTGAATCATCTACTAATGATCTTTATCAAATTCGAGGTTCACGTAGTGGTTCCTTGCGATTTAATCCTCCATAATTTCGTAATAATATAAAATGTTTGACCTGTTAAGGACCAGCTGTTGGACCAATATCTCCTGACTGACGGATTTATTATTCATATTCATTTAAGGGAGTCATTCCAAACGGCGTAAGATGTCTCTATAATTTGCCATATAATTTCGACTTTCTTAGTACCTCAACCTTTATCATTATTTATCTTCAACCTTTAACATTATCTTCGTACCTTATTGCCCGCGGGAGGAAGCCAGACAGGGAACGAAAATTATAATGCTGCATTGCTCTCCCAAAAGAATATCCACTTATACACTCGCGAAAATATCTACTCAAACGACAGTTCCTTTCATCTTTTTTGATTAAATTTAATAAAATATTCGAAGCTAGCAAAATATTTACCTTGTAATATTGAGGTTGATATTTTCCCACCCCAGATGTCCTGTCTAAATGCGCCAACAACTTGTGTGACGTAACACAAGTAGTTACGATATTTCCCAACGGTGAAGAACTTTGTGGCTATTGCATCTTCAACATACTTCCTGAGCCTGAATACCAAGAGGATGAAAGCTTCGTAGCCTTGAAACGCGCGAAGAAGAATCTACCTGCTTGTACCACCTGCAAAACTGAGAAGTATCTGCTCGATTTTGCTGGGAGAATTGTTCGAGGGCCTGAGACTTGTACTGAAACCATCAAAACATCAGGTTAATGGTCGATTATAATAACATAAATGATTAAAGTGTCCTAAAGTAATCGATACATATTGTGCATGCGTTGAAATTGTGCTGGGAAGAGTTGAGGCCGTGCGATGATTTTCTGTGAAGTATGACTAGAACTAACTGCAAAAATTCCTTCCAAATTTACAAATTTACTGAAAAATTTCATAATCCCATTGTGATTACGTCTATTTTCATTTCATGTTTTAAACCAAACCTAGAGCGAGAATTCAGTCAAATAATGATGTACCGAACTAATAGGCGTTAACTGTTTGCTTGTAGATAATTACCCGCACACACATTCCAACGCTCCAAAATTAATCTATTCTTTATGTACCAGCACCTTCCGCAGTCGAGTTTCAAGCAAGTTTCGAAGCTGCTCAGGGCATAGCCATGTCATGGGAGACTCCGCACTCTGCCTGCCCTATTAGTCACTACCAAATTTCTTGCTCAGTTCTTGATCTCAACGACCCTCAGCAGCCCAAGACGGTTCAATCCATTAACTTGGAGAGCAACTATTCAAACTTCATCCAAGACGATGTGAAGCACAACTCGTTGTATGAGGTGTGCATGATTGCAGTCGCAGTCGGCGAAGTCTCAGGCCCGGAAACCTGCAAGTCCATTGTGATTCCAAAATTAGGTAAGCTCAACGTGTTGCGTCGTTGTAAGTTTTCCTTCACGAGTTGCTAATAAAACTGACTCAGCACTTGCGCACTCAAATAATCTTGTTGACTCTATGAAGATTAAATACATATATTTCATAAACTAGTCTCAAATGCTTGAATTAATAACTCAGATGATTATTGACAGGGTAAAACCATGAATCAGTGAAAATATTTTTTCAAGCTTAAACATATTATTAGCCTAATTTGAACACGCTGAAAGTTAATCCGACAAATCATTGGTGCATAACTGACCGACCCTAAGGACATTTGCCAGTTAATTTAACAGCAGCCTCAAGATTATTAATGTTAATTTTTATATACCCCTTAGGAGTCGAGCAGCTAGAAGCGAAGATTGAGGCTGACCAGGGCATTACAGTGTCATGGCATCCTCCAAAAACCCTCAGCGATCTCATTCATTATGAGATTTCCTACACGCAAAAGGTTCTTGACAACAGTGACCAGCTAATGATAGTAAAAATATTCGAAGTGGAGAGCAGTTATTCAACCCACGTGCTGAGTGATGTTCAACCCAACTCGTCGTATGAGATCTGCGTCTTCGCAATGGTTGAGAATTCCTCCGGTGGAAAGAACTGTACATCCATAGAGACTCCAAACGAAAGTAAGAACATTGCATTGGATCAATAAAGCGTTAGCATCAATATAAAATATTAAATATTCACTAGGAATGTCATGGAAAAGTATTGAAGAGATTTAATATTGGCGAGTATCATAAATTGGAGACTAGCCGCGAGTGAATACCCAATTAGTTCGTAAAAAACCAATCAAGAATGGTCAATTCAGGAGCCGCTTTGAGTGATCTCAATCCAGGATATGACAAAGTGAGATCTAAAAAAATTATTTCATAGCGCACAGCAAATTTCTGATGAATTCAGTGAAATTCTACATGAAGGTCAGAAGGAAGTTTTTGATAGGATCGACTAAGGATTTATTTGTAAGCTTTTCTTAGTAGCAAATAACAATACTGTCACATAACTGTCATACAATAATATGGGTGCACACGTGGCAGTCATCAATGATGCCACCTCTTTCTGTTGATTGACAGTTGCGCCAGACGTCGAGAGCCTCGGCCATATAGAGGAGTACGAGCTGACGGAGGCTGAGATCCAACACATCAATGCCCCAGTAAATAACCCTACCATATCTGCTCCCACACAATTACACATCTCGAATAACCTTCATTCCTTCGAATTTCATTTCATAGTATTGTGGTAAAAAAAGCAAAATAAACTTTGAGGCATGTAAGTATTTTTACCAGAAATGCAATTCATATCATACTCTCCGAGGAAGCCAAATTATTTCAAGTGCAATTTTATTATTGAATTCTATTTTAAAAGCAAGCATTTGAGTGATTAATTTCAAATTTTAATTTCGAACACACACAAATAGGAAGCGAGAGACAAAATCTCGTGTTGCTACAAAACTCCTATTCAAATTTACAAAACCTAAACGAAACCATGTCGCAGTCGATTTTGTGGGCCTCAATTCGTGTTGTCAAAACTGAGTTAGAAGCGTGACAATTTACAAACTGTAAACGAGTAGAATAGAAAAAACTATATTAAGTTTGAGACAGCAATTTTAATGACTTGACAGATTACTTCATATCTATCATCAGCTAGCTCATGACATTATAATTTATGAAACAACACCTTATTCATCACAATTGTGCTACAAGAAACTTGTCCTATTCATAGAATATGAATTCTAGTTGGATACCTACACTGGCAGATCGATAGAAGGGCATAGGTGAATGCTTCATTATTTTTAATATCATAATCTGGCGGCGAAGTTTCGTCAGCCCCTGTATTTATCATGAATTTGTTCTTGTCTGTTTTTTGTAGGTCGTTGACGGTTCTTCGTCGGAAATAGAGGCAATCATTGACAATTTCTTGACTGAGAAGGAGAATCCGAATCTTCTGAGTGGATCCAGTTTTGATCAGCTCAAGAGCAACGGCAATAGCGTGAATCTTCTACCTGTTCAGGGCCTGATGACCGCAGCCATTGTACTGTTAACAGGGGTACTACTGTGAGTTGCTTTCAGGGGAGCGCAGCTATGCACCACCAATTTTGTGCACCAATAAACCCTGAATCGAACGCCTTGGATCTCTCCGGACCTACACCAATCAGCCGTGCACCACTCGGCTTTGTCCTCTTCCGGCCTTAACCACCACCTGCCATGCACCACCAGGCCGCGGATCGAATCTGACTTCCGGGCATCGTTAAATTACGCAATTTTACGTTCACCGCATCTGAGGTTAGGTTTCAGATAGCATAGTTCTGTTCCAAAATTTATCGTCCTTCGACAAGTGGCCGTTCGACCGAGGTCTGGTTCGACCCACGGCCTAGATACGGACGGCTTGAAGTGTTGAAGGCTACGTTCCGGTAGGCAGGAATCATGATGGTCCATTACATTCAGGGCAGTTATGGTCTTCGGCAGGCGACCCGCTTTCAGGCTTCACGGATGAGTTCAAAATTGTAAGCCCTCACACGATGTGATATCACACGTGGTATTAATGACGTGGGCGAGTGATAGGGTACGGAACAGAAAATAATTCCGTCCTATAGAAAATGACAAAAAACTAATTCGTTCGAAGCATCGAAGTAGGAAATACCTTGCATTGTTGATTCTTAATATTGAGAGTGCTTGAACGCTCAGCTGTCGCATTTCTTTCAATTCTACTCGTAATGAGAAAAATAAATATGCGAAGAAGATTCATTACATTTCAGAAAATTCAGGAAGATTCAGTATGCAAGCGATTCACTTGTTGACTTTCAATATGACAAATCAAAGAAGTCTAATTTTAATCTAATTTTTTTTCATATAACTTTAAATTTATTAGTATTTAAAGAATTGGATCCCCTCTGGTGCATTGTTTAGGGTGGGGCTGTATAGATTTAAGTTTACCGCTGAGGTTAACCTGCCGCCTACTTCATAAATTATAGAGCTGCTTTTACGATGTCTTCAGTATCTACATGGTGATTCATCAAATTAATTCCTTTAGTGTCAGGGCCTCGGTACAATAGTATCTGTTGCATTCGTTGTTGGGGACCACCTGGTTCACATTAATTGTTTATGTGAATAAAAATCTTAGGTAGTATAAACACTTTAATAGTAAACGCCACGAAAAAGTTTCACACATAAGCCAGCGTGAAAAATCGTTCAGCGTAATATACAGAGGCTTCGAGTCCTCTTCTCCAGTCCAATATCATCATAATCTACAGTCATAATCATGATTATCGAATGTGATTTTCGTTTGGAGTTGCGGGAGAAGAATTAGAAAAGTTAGTGTCGGTGTGAAGCCAGAGTCGAGATACGACCAATTCTAGGTGATGTGATTTATAGCATAGTATAATTATGAGCAGATGTGATTAATTTCATATGAATATATATGATTCAGTATAATGGAATAGTTAGACAGTAGTTCTTCCGTTTTACATGTTCTATTGTAGACCAGATAATACATTTTCTGGTTCATTGTTTCAACGAGTCGGACAATTTTTATATCGTTTGCACTTGTAAATCAAGCATGACTCAATAAATTGTTTTAATACGTGAACAAACATATTAAAACAAACATCATTGAATATTATGTTTGATGAAGATTTAGCAACACTTGAAATCGAGCTGAAAAGTGTTAAGGGCACATTGAGTATTATAGATACAACTCAAAAATATGTATATAGAACGTCAAAATTTATAACTATTTGCTAAGTAGTTTAATTAAGCATTATAATTACCTGAACTACACCAATTTTCGCACTCAATTCCCTGAACCTGCACTTAAGTTACATCAAAATTTAAACGTTGCAAAACCTTCATTTCCCTGTTATGAATAATGTTGATTAACATTATTCAACAGCTAACATTATAACAGCTTTTTGATTTACCAAAATATCATTTGCCAGATTTAAAAAAAGTTAACTAAAAAACCCATTACTGCTTTTTCATGTACATATATGAATAGATTGATATATTACTATTATTATATTTTATATTATACTATACTGTATATAATATATTGTACTATATGTTATTATTACTGAAATAAATTACTGATTACCTGTTGAAGAAAGGTAAGAAGATGGTGTTAGCTATAAGCCCACATCATGTTCGTTATATGTGCGTTTAATTATTAGATCTAACGCACACATCATGTTAGATTTTTTGTGAGAGTCGCACAGAAGCAAAAATTGTGTTTTGTTGGTTACGCTCGTTGCATATGATTTTACCTTTGAAATCATCACGATTTACATATAATATTACTTCGGAATGTCCCTTGAATTATTTTCCGTGTGTATGCAGCCATCATAAAACTTTCTGATTACCTTCAATTGACTCCGCAATAAATAAGCTTTAGCTATTGTTTGGGTCATATTACAAAAACATTAGTTCGTTAATTTCGTGTGACTCATCTTTGATGCATTTATGTCATCAATATTTTTGGATTCAAGGCTCTATTCAAACCTATTTATCTGAAGTCGTTGTTTGTAGGCAGCCACACTGAATACTGAATAAATGACAAGCTTAATGAATGACTTGAATGATGAATAATGAATGAATTCTGCTAAATGAATAACAAGTCGAATTTTTGGCTGCAGTTCATTTTGTTTGTGCTGGACTAGTGAGTTGAGCCATCAACCAATTATCATATTGAATGGTTAAGAAATGGTTAAAATGCCTTGCAGGTGATTAAAAGCACTTGGCTCTTCGGTGGTTGGCAACCGAGGGGTTTGTACTACAGTTAAGTTGAGTTAAAGTTAAAAAAAGTTAAGTTAAAGTTAAGAGATCGTATGTTCATGAACCAATCTTGCCAGTCTTTCAAGCAAAATCCACCAATCACGAACAAGAACATAGAGCGTAAGTACTTACGTTCACTTAGCGAGTTTTGAAAGTATAGCCCCTGATACTAGAGAACTGTGGGGCTTCTGGAAGTACTGAGAGATTTTGGGCTCTGGAGTCAAATGAGGCAATTTGGTAGCTTTAGAATTGAATGGAAGTGTCGGCATTGAAGAAAATAGGCCAATGGCCTATTTTCATCAAGATGAAGGTTAATTAGGAGATTGATGCGCTCAGATCGCTGATTTTACTAATTCATGTGTTCCTTCTTCATGTAACACAAATTAAGACCTGAGAACAAGGAGGAGCACTAGAACATGGACCTGACATTAGTTAATTAAAACACCTTCAGAATAAAATAACATTAAAGAGCTCCACTGCTTCAATACCTTTGCATAGTTCCTATTTAAGGCAAAATTCATATGTAACTATTTAATACCCAATTCATCTTCAAGCTGAAATTAAAATTCATACAATTAAAGTTCAATCATATTCAAATTCAAAATTCCTCTAATTCATCAACAATTAAAGCTTACTCAAAACTCGCTATCAAAACAGTAACAATGATAATCTGATTGATAATGGTGGTGCTCACTGAATCTAGTGCTGCCACACAATGTTTTATGCATCTGTGATTTTATTCATCTCGGCATAATTTACTAATTATATTCCCTCTCATAAGCAATACTCATTGTCACACAGATCTTACTCTAGTTTAAGATATAGTGAACGGATTGAACATTAGATTTTCCAAAAGTTAATGAAATCTCAGTCCACTCAACTGCTCTAGACTGATAATAATAATATGGAAACCGCATTGTATTTCCTATTCACGTGGACCTCAAAAATTTAATAATCAATCAATATGAATTAATTAAAGAATTAACAATCAATCTCGCTTCAACGTCAAAAGAATAATAAATTAATAATGATTAATTAAATAATTAATAATCAATCAATACGACTCAATTAATGAATTAATAATCAATTGATCAAATTAATAATTAATACTAAGTTGAATCATGTGATAAAAGGATAAATCTAGGTTAAATCTTCCTTCAATTGATTTCACTAGGAAGCTGCGCAAGATCGGATCATGGGCGGGCTCAACAAGACTAGCCCCTAGACTATGTAGCATTGACGGAAAACATTTCCTAATTAATCAATAACTCCATGGAGAATACTTGAATGCCAGAATAAACTCCATAGAACATTTACCTACGACTATGTTACACGTTTATTAATTATTAATCACCCAGTAGACACTTCTGATAATAAAACACGAGCGAAAGGAACAACAGCGCGTGGTACGGGATCGAGTGAAGAATGAATGAGTCGATGTTGCCGAAGCGGCTTGGGATGAATTCTCGTTTTGTTCGAGAACTACCTGTAAATCACAAAGTGAAATATTTACAATTACTAAAGCTTAAAACTATTACAAAATTATCCGATCTTATATATATAAAAACTGGTCATGATTATTACATGTGATGATTACTTTTCTTACAATGATGGCTTACAATGATGATTACTTTTCTTTTAATATTAGTCACTTTAATATGGCTATTAAAGTTCACGAGACTCGTACATAATTACGGTATTAAATATTTAACAAAATGCAGTATTATACCTAGTAATCTCATGAGTCACTACAGTCACTGCAGTTCTTTAATCACCTTCCGAAATTAAAAGTACCAAGAAAATTTGTATATATTTTCAGGTCGGATTTATTAAGTCATGATTGACTTCAAATTCTAATTTCACAATTTTTGGAAGCTTAAATATTAATTTTTCAGCTGGTACTAATTCTAACTTCTCGAAAATTTATCCTACTGAACCTGGAAATGAATTTACAACGTAGTGTTAGAAAATATGAAATTGTTATAACTTACTCACTATGGGGACTAGGTCCCTTAGACCTCACGTTCCCGGAGCCTGGGACCCCACGTGCCCGTTGCCTGGGACCTCACGTGCGCGTTACCTGGGACTCCCAAGTGCGCGGTACCTGGGACTCCCTTAAATTACAAACACAGAATTAGCCTATCTTATATCTCCACTGCAACTCACCTACTAGGGACGCTACACAGTCACTAGAGCACAGTGAGAGGAAGGTGCGCTCCGACCAAGTCTCAACGAAATAATGAATGTGTATCCTAACGCGGATTTTAACCTGGTGATGCCACGTCAGCACACGCGACACGGTAGCCAACTTAACCGGTAACATCATACCGTATAACTAGAAATAATTTTGACCACAATAAAGATCTG